TTCAAGATATTAGGGACGGTTATACTGACCACTGTTCCCGTGTACGTAAATGTGCAAAATCAGAAAGGGGCGAAAGTTCAATAAGATGAAACTCCTCATAATGAATAAGATGAACTTTAAACTCATCACATTTTGCACAACAACAGAAAACAAAACCGCCAAAGAGCGTTTCCAAGATATTCATTGCTCCATTCTTTGCATCCCCTTCTTCCTAGTTGAAAGAGTAGTTTCAGAAAGGCTGTCCCCAAGACTGTGCACGTAATAAGGGTTAGTTCAAATTACCAGTACATGAGCTTTTCTCTAATAGATTTTACAACAAAATTTACTTAAACAGAAAGGCTTTCTAAACTATTTAACTTGTTTCGTCAAAACGTTTTCTTGAATACTCTCGGTTATTGTCAAAATCTTAACATCCGAGCAGAGATGGGCGAGTACGACTCGAGTATACTCGAATACAAATGTTTAGGTATGCGTTCTCGAGACTTTTCAATGCGTACTCGATAAAGTACTCTGATGAAAACCTGTTTAACCAGAAAAAAAGGTATTCCGAACAGACTGACTGATCATCACACAGAACGTTTTCGGATAACAATCCTTAGGTTTAAAAAAAACTAGTACAGGAGTACACACTGGAGTAAAACTGTTTTCTACTCGTACTCATACTCATACTCGAAAAAATGTGTACTCGCCCACCTCTATATTAGAGGAAAATGCTTTATATTACGAGCGATTTTTGTTTGTAAGACCAAGATTTCTTTATCATATAGATATGCAAAATCAGAAAGGGGCGAAAGTTCAATAAGATGAAACTCCTCATAATGAATAAGATGAACTTTAAACTCATCACATTTTGCACATCATTTCATCACAAGCTATACACAGATACAGATGTAATCCTACCTATGCGGAATATCGAGCCCACCATCGACAGCACCTTTCAATGCTCCAAATATTTTTGCTCCCGTGCTCGTTCGTGCTAACCCAACATCCAAATAGCATCGAAACGGTCTGCTCTTTCCTTCGACGGCTTCATTTTCAAATTTAGCACCAGTCACATCTTTTGTTCCCAAATAAATCTCATCTAATTTATATTTTTGTAACGTACGTCGTGCTAATAGTAAACCAGTACAGTAAGCGGCTGCATAATTCGTTAAACCCAATTTAACGCCATAACGAGGTAATTCATGAGCATAGGCTGTTGAAATAATATGATCACCTTCAATACGAGCAAAGGCAATCTAAAAATAAGTTAACCTTACGTTTAAAAATACCAAAACAAGAGCGAAGAAACAAGGCTACGTGCATGCATCAGCATAAATCATTCTACACCGCATTCAGAAGAGATGACAGAAAATGAATATTTCATCATATACATACGCTTGAATTTGGCAGCACACGAAAAAATCTTGCCGATTAGCGATAAAGCTACTACTATCAAATGCTCTTGCTATAAACTTTATAATCGGCATTGATAAAAGACAGGTATAAACTAACAAAACACACTAGTTTTATTACAGTACTCTTCTTTTGTGCAAAATCAGAAAGGGGCGAAAGTTTAATAAGATGAAACTCCTCATAATGAATAAGATGAACTTTAAACTCATCACATTTTGCACAACAACAGAAAACAAAACCGCCAAAGGGCGTTTCCAAGATATTCATTGCTCCATTCTTTGCATCCCCTTCTTCCTAGTTGAAAGAGTAGTTTCAGAAAGGCTGTCCCCAAGACTGTGCACGTAATAAGGGTTAGTTCAAATTACCAGTACATGAGCTTTTCTCTAATAGATTCTACAACAAAATTTACTTAAACAGAAAGGCTTTCTAAACTATTTAACTTGTTTCGTCAAAACACTTTCTTACGTACTCTCTCTTATTGTCAACATTTCAACATTAGAGGAATAAGCTTTGTATTACTAGCGATCTTAGTTTATAAGATCAAGATTTCTTTATCAAATAGATGTGCAAAATCAGAAAGGGGCGAAAGTTCAATGAGATGAAACT